TTGACATAAAACAATTACAGATGTTCACAAACAGCAAGTCCAGTCCACTTCTTCATTCAATCCCAAAGGAGCCCACGTCTGCAGTTGGTGAATACAAAACAACTCTCTTCTCAGGAGCACTCTGCACATGTTCTGATTGGTAGTCTGTACAGTCTCAACAATCCCAAGTCCAGAAAATGGTTCACTAATGGTGCAGAACACTTTTGCAATCTAATGCAGCTTTGGTGTTCACCTATTCTGACTTTTACAGGTCTAGATGTTTGACCCAAATACAATTTACCACATGTACATTGGATACAGTAGATCGCTCCTTTGCTTTGGCAGTTGCAAAACGTATTAATAAAAAAGGTTTTTGTTTTGGCAGTATTTTTAAAGGACTTCTTAGCCTCAGCACAACTACACATAGAACAATTACCACAGGCAAAGAAACCTTTCGGAATCTGACTCCCCCTCATGCAGCTGGTGTCCTTCACTTCAGGGAGCCTGCTTCTAACTAGTGCATCCCTGAGATTTTTTGCTCTTCGGGCTGTGAATAGGGGAGGATTCTGGCATCTAGGTATGTTTGATAAAAGGTGCCAATATTCGTTAATAATACTCTTTACCGGTTTAAACGTGCTATTGTAAGTAAGAGGTATAATCATCCTATCTACTCTTTGATTGTGAGGTCTGGGCGTGTGTAAAGATGTTCTGGACGTTTTATAAGCTCTGTAATAAGCTCTTTTTAGGTTTCTATAGGTGTAGCCCCTATTGGCAAGTTGGTTCATTAGAATGCCTGCCTGTCTCTTAAAATCATTTGCCTCACTACAGTTTATTTGTAATCTTAGTAGTTGTGAATAAGGTAGATTCCTCTTAATATGGGCAGGGTGGAAACTGTCCATGGTCAAGTAAGAATTTGCATCAGTGGATTTTCTATAGACTTCTGTTTCTAGTTTATTGCCTGTCCTAATTTCTACATCTAAAAAATGTACATTATATTTGTCATATACTAATTCAAATTTGATAGTGTTATGTATTTGATTTATGTATTTACCAAATTCAATCAAAGATCCTATTGTACCTTTCCAAATTAGGAAGATATCGTCCAAAAATAATTTGTAAAAATGATATGTTAACTGTAAGAATTATTAGGTTGGAGAATAAATTTGTTCTCCAATCTATCTCTAGTTTCAGCTCCTGCCAATCTAGCAGTTCGAAAGCAAGAAATTGCAAGTAGATAAATAGGTACCACTTCGGTGGGAAGGTAACAGCGTTCCGTGCGCCTTGGTGTTTAGTCATGCCGGCCACATGACCACGGAATAATCTTCGGACAGTGCTAAATCTCTTGTAAAAATATGTTCACTGTAAGAATTATTAGGTTGGAGAATAAATTTGTTCTCCAGTCTATCCATAAATAGATTAGTTAATTCAGGTGCAAATTTACATCCCATTGCTGTGCCTGAAATTTGCCAGAAATATTCTCCCTGGAATTGAAAGAAGTTCTTCTTTAGGCATAGTTCAGCAATGTGACAGAGGAATGATGTAGGGGGGATGGGCTGCCCTGTCCTACGGTCTAGCACGTCCCATAAAACTTCTAAAGCTTCATTTTGTGGAATGTTGGTGTAAAGTGAAACAACATCTAGAGTGGCAAAAATGACTTCCTCTGTCTGCAACTGTAAATCATTAATGTGGTTGAGGAAATCGATGATGTCTCTTAGGTAGGAGTGTGTGGTTTGTACAAAGGGCTTGAGAAAGAGGTCCAAATACTGGGCCAAAGGTTCTAAGATGGACCCACATCCTGAAACAATAGGCCTACCTGGGACAGGGATGGGTTTGAGGAGGGGAGAGGCCTCAGCTGAATATGATGCCATAGAGCCCACCCTCCAAAACAGCCATGTCCTCCTGAGGAACCACTGTTGCCAATCTCCAGGGGAGGGCTGGAGATCACTCATAATTACAACTGCTCTTCAGATGGCAGAGATCAGTTCCCCTGGAGAAAAAAGTAAGCTCTGTGTCATTATACCCTGCTGAGGTCGCCACAGCAAATTGACGCTGAGTGCCCAAGGCCAGGGCACCCACTAGGCTTGCCAGCCCTCCTGGGCTGGTGGGGGAATACCCACTTTTACGAGCCATCCCTAGAGCATAAGCTGCTGGAGGACTTGGCACTCATTGGAGGGCTTGGAGCTCGCCCTTCCTCCTAACCACCTGAGCTAGCGCACCAATTCCCCCCTCCCCACCAGTGCACAGGTCAGTGGAAGCCATGGCGTGGGGAGGGGATGCAGCAGGGGTGCTTCTCCTTGCTGCCTGCCACCACCGCCAAGCTGTCCTGTGCTGGTCCCTGGGCTGGGGCCAGGCAGGTGGCAAGTCAGTGCAGCCGACCATCCATGCTTCAAAGTGGTGGATGGCCTATCCTTCCTTCCCCAGGCTGCTACACTTTGCAGGATCAGTCAGAGCGGGACGAGGGGGGGCGGCAGCAGGAAGCAGTCCTGGGCTGGCTACTGGACCTCGGGGCCAGGCAGGCAAGTGTCAGTACAGCTGGCGCCGCCGCCACCCATCCAGGCAAGCTGGAGGGTGAGCGGGGGGCCCGGCCGCCGGGGTGGTTTTTCCTCCCCAGGCCCTGGCTCACGCTTCAGAGACTCAGAGCTGTGGGATGGGGGGATGTGCACCTCTTCATTCTCAGTCGCCACGGCTGCCAGGAACCTAGCCTGCCTGGTCCCAGGCGGGCCATGCATGCTCCAAAGCAGGCATGTGTTTTTTCCGCCATGCTTCGGAGCCAGGATGTGTTTGCAGGCCCCTCTCCGCTGCCCAGGCTGGCCAAAGCACTCCGGAGGCCTTCCCAGCCTGCGGCTTCCTCCCTGACTCTCATCCTAAGAAGCACAAACTCACCCCCTCAGGGACAGAGCAGGGAGGAGTTGTTGCAGCCTGGGACTGGTTTGGTGGACCTTCAGTCTTCTGATCAGTTAGAGTAAGAGACTCACTTCTTATATTTGATCATTGTGCTCTTATGTTTTTCTCCCACAGTTGATTAATTTTTTCCTTTCCTTCTTAGGGCTGACAAACAGCTTGTGTTAAACAATTTGCTTGCAAAGGAAACGTTTTACATATTCCAGCACTGAAGGCTGGAACATACATCATTCCCCCCCCCATCTCTAGCTCACACAGTGTTTTGAATTAGTTATGCTAAAGTATTAATAACTCATTATGTGAAATCTTTACAGGATTTCAGTAATGTTTTATAAAGCAGTAGCATCTGATAATTTTGTGGTTTTGATCCTCTGGCATACTCAGTCACTTGAAAGGAAAAATTGATGAGTACACCCTACAGGCATTAAATTGAGTTTATGCTGTGATCTGTGTAAAATAAGTTATTATTTTATTGATTGATTGACTGATTGATTGATTGATTGATTGAACAAAGTTTGACTCCAGTGGTAGCTTTAAGACCAATCAAGTTTTATTCCAGGTATGAGCTTATTTGTCATTTATGGTCCATTTGTCTCACTGAACTATGTATTATTTGTAGAGGCACTGTTTTATTTGTACAGAAGCCCTAAAAATATCTGGGCAGCTTACCATGTGCTTTATTGGGGATGGGGGAGGAAGCCTAAGTAAAAGAACTTGCTGTTCAGCGATTAAAACTGTTGGGGAGTGTGCCACCTCATCCCCACCCCAGATGTTACTAGCTGTTATGTTTTGGGATACTTTTTACAATATTCAAAGATCCTTCCAGGCTCTGTTATTTTGTTGTGGCAATTTCTATCCTTGTGGTTAAGTTACTATAATTAAAACTCAAACTGAATATTGGGACTACTGAGGAAAAGCTGACCAGCTGAGACTAATTGGTGTGAGTACTTCAGTTGGTACAAAAACTTGCAGCCCAATTACTACTGGGTGCAAGGCAGGAAATACATGTCACACCTGTGGAGGGGCTGTGGCTCAGTGGAAAAACTTCTGCTTCTCATGCAGAAGGTTCCCGGTTCAATCCCTGGCATCCCCAGTTTAAAAGACCAGGCAGTAGCATCTTGGGAATATTTGTGGAAAAATTCTATTAAGATATCAACATGTACTAATGTAAAAGAAAATTGTTACAAAATGATGTACAGATAGTATATGACACCGAAGAAAATTGCAAATATGAATCAAAATATGTCAAATAAGTGTTGGAAGTGTAAGAAACACGAGGGTTCATTTTACCATATGTGGTGGACATGTGAAAAAATGATAGATTTTTTGTCAAAAGTTCATACTGAAATGCAGAAAATTTTTAAATGTACATTTAAGAAAGAACCAGAGATTTTATTGCTAGGATTGAAGTTGGAAGAGTTAAATGTAACAAAAAAGACCATGTTTTGGTATCTGATAACGACGGCAAGGATGGTGTATGCACAATGCTGGAAACAAGAGAGAATACCAGAGACCACAGAATGGATGCAAAAAGTGCTGTTTATGGCAGAAATTGATAAAATAACAAGAAAATAACAACAGAGAAGATCAAGAATTTTTTGAAGAATGGAAGGACTTTAAGGACTATCTAGAGAAAAAATGGGATGTGAAACAAAATGTATTGTATTTAGAACAATATTAGAATTGTTATCTTGTAACTGAGAATAGAATTGTGAAATAAATGTAAGAGTATGAGGGAAGAAGGGTAGAGCACTGCGGGAAGTCACTAGAAGGGGAGGGAAGGAGGGGAATATGGGTATTTGTTGACTGAAAGTAAATGTTAAGCATGCAATTATATCCAAAAATAAAAGCTTTTGTCAAAAAAAACACACAAAAAACAAAGACCAGGCAGTAGTAGGCAATGTGAAAGACCTCAACCTGAGACTCTAGAGAGCTGCTGCTAGTCTGAGTTCACAGTATTGACCTTGAGGGACTGGGGATCTGATTCAGTTGGGAAAGAAGTACTTTTCTCCCTTTCTCACAATACAAGAACTCGTAGGAATTCAATGAAATTAATGAGCAGTAGGCTTAGAATAGGCAAAAGGAAGTACTCACCCAAGGAGTAATTAACATGTGGAATTCACTGCAATAGGAATTGGTGGCGGCTACAAGCATAGGCAGCTTTAAGAGGGGACTGGATAAACATATGGAACAGAGGTCCATCGGTGGCTATTAGCTACAAAGTAGAGATGGAACATGGGGCCTCAACACTTTTAAATTATTTTTGTTTTATTACCCATCCTTTTAAAAAGTTTAGATATTTTTCTGAAAACTAGGAAACACCTACCCTAGGTGCCATTGCACAGATTTTTTAAAAATCCATGTGGGAGCATGACAGATGATTCTGACTCTACTGGGTTGATCTTCCCCCTACTTTGTTCCTCCACGTAATTCCTTAGTGTCTTCTCTTTTTATTTTTCTTAGAGCCAAACTACAGACATGGGTCCAACCCGTGGCCACTGATGCCACTTTAGAGGAAAATTTAGCAATTTAAAAATATGCCATGAGGGCCTGATCCTGATTGTGCCTGTGGTGCAGTGGCCACAAGCAATCTTGTTTCCCCACTGCATGACTTTTAAAGTGCCAAACAGCTGTCTGGGCTCTTAGCTTGAGGGACAGGCCTAGATCAGGACAGAAGATCAGTCAGTCAGCAGAGAGAGACAAAGATCTGCTTAACAATCGGAAGCCTCCCCTCCCTTTTATGTTTTGGTATGGTAAGACATCAATGCCTTCCAAAGCAAAACGTGCTGCCTCGGGTGGGGGTTTCTTGAGTCTATGTGGGTCAGGATGTTCCAATCCCTTTCATTTTTGGCACTGTAACTCCCATATCAATCCTGAAGTGGGTGGCCAGTTTCGAGGATCCTCAGCTTTATTTTCGGGTGAGTTAGGCCTGGCAAAACACCCTGAGCTTCCAGTGCAAATAGTATTGGAGGGACAGGGGCTTCTGTGGATTGCACAGGCAAGAATGTCTCTATTGGAGTGTTATTAGCTGTGTAAAGTTTTTCATAAAAATTGGCAAAACAGCCTGCTATATCTGAGGGAGAAGTATGACACTATTTTCATCGTTTAACGAGAAAAATTTTCGTTCTAGATTTTTACGGTGAACTCGCCATTTTAAAAGTTTCATTGTTTTTGGATTTCGCTGCCAATACCGTCGTTTAACAAAAAGTAAATGTTTTTGTATTTGCTGTGTGTCAAAGGTTTCTAATAATCTGCGTGCAGCTAGCAGTTCTTTGTATATTTTTTTGCTACAGATTCTTTTATGTAATGTTTCCAGGGTTTTAATTCTTTCTAACAATGCATCAAATTCTTTTTTCTGTGTTTTTTTCAGATAGGAGGATATGGAGATCAGTTTTCCCGGCATAACAGCCTTAAAAGCATCCCAGAGGATTCCATCTCACACATCTCCAGTGTCATTTATTTCAAAATACTCAATTATGGCTTTTACAATTTCTTCTCTATGTATTGTATTCAATAAAATTGAATTATTTAATTTCCATGTTTTCTCTTGTTGTTCTGAAGTGGTTTTATTTAAGCTGCATTCTACGAAAGCATGATCTGTCCATCTAAATGGCCCTATATGTGACTCCTTGAGTCTTCCACAAGTGTTATTTGAAATTAAGATATAATCAATTCGTGTATAAGTGTGGAATCTAGTTGAGAAAAAAGTGTAATCTCTCTCATTCATGTGTTGACATCTCCAGATGTCTAGTAACTGATATTTATCAAACATTTTACCTAATTCAGTATATCTCCTTCTTTGGTTATGTTTCGGTATTTTGGAGTGTGATTTGTCAAGATATTTGTCAACAATCATATTACAGTCCCCGCCTATTAGAACCATTCTCTCTTGAAAGTTTCTTAATTCCAGTAAAGCATCATCTAAAAATTGAGTTTGTTGAGCATTAGGTGCGTATATAGAGATTAATGTGGTTTGTTCCCCATCTAGTAAGCCTTTAATAAACACATATCTTCCTAAAGGATCTGACATTTGATCTTTGTATTCAAATTTCACTGTTTTTGCTATTAAAATGGCAACACCTCTGGCTTTGGAAGAACCATGTGCTTGGAATTGCTGATTGTATCAAGAAGATTTCAACACTACCTGATCTTCTTTTTTAAAATGTGTTTCTTGCATCATGATGATGTCAGGCCTGTCTTTTAAAAATACAGAAGTTATTCTCTGTCTTTTAACACAATTATTCAAACCATGAACATTAATCGTGCGTAATTTGTATACCTCCATTCTTATACCTACACAAAGTGCCAATAGTACCCAATTTGGCCTAAAGGATCTCCTAATTGCTTTAACTAACTTACAAACCTTAACAGTTACTCTGAACCAATTCAACAAAACCCCTCACCCTCCCACACCCACCCAACGTAAAACCTGCAGCGTAGATAAAGTATAAATAACTATTTTTCTGTGAAGGGAATCCAGGAACCAGCTCCTAACAAGCTGACTAGATAGCTCTAGTGCTATCTTCTGTCCCCTTATAAAGAGAAAGGCAAACCAACTGTTGCAACTCCCCCCTTTCCCACCCCCGCAAGTCATTTTTAGAAATTATGAACTACCTATAGTACAATTAAACAGTATTGAACTACATATATCTAAAAAAAACCAGATGTGATAAACAGCCAAGCATACACACAGACTCCTATACCACTTATCTGGTTCCAGCATATATTGGGAGTTTGCTGGATTTCATGGGTGATAATGGAAATAAATTTCTTCGTTTGACTGATCTTTTGCCTTCTTCTTGTTCCATCGGAGTTTCTTTATGCAGGGATTGCAGAAGTTTTTCCCCAGAGTCCTCATTATGTGCATATAAATGTAGTCCTTGGTAGTAGACATACAGTTTGCCCGATGGCAACCATTTATATTTTTGGTTTAATTCCTGTAGTTGTTTAGTATTGGTTTTCAGTTTCCTCCGTATTAGTAGAGCTTCTCTTGGTACATCAGGAAAAATGGCAATGCGTTCTCCGTTGTATGTGAAGATATCAGCGTTCTGTGCCTCAGAGAAAATTCTTTTTCTCACTCTCATATCTGGTATAGTGACTATAATGTCTCTGGGTATATTTTTTTAACGTTTTTCTTTGAACCCAGCCTGGCTGCTTGAGTAATGATGGGGTATACTCCCTCTTCAAGCTTTAGGGCTTGGGCAATAAAAGAGGCTATAAAAGAGATTAAATCTGCTGACCCTTCTGCCTCCTCCGGAAAACCACGAAATTTTAGGTTAATCAATTTTTGTTCTGTTTCTACTGCAATCAAATGATCATTTACATCAGTCACATGCTCACAAATAAGTTTTATATTTGCCTGATTTTCCAAGCTGTTTTCCAATGCCGATTCTGCCTTTTCTACTGCCTGAACAACTGAAAGTTTAATATCTTCCACGTGTGGAAATTTGATCAATCAGACTTGCTTCCATAGTCTTTAAGTAAGCTAAAATTGCTGGGTCTGAGTTCTGCTGTGGCATGGTCTCCGTTGTTTTTTCAATCGCCGCCATTTTGTGCTCCTTCAAGCTTTGCAGACTTCTAGTCGTTTCAACTCCAAAATGCTCTTTAATGGTACGGGAGCCGCCAGAGACCACTGTGTTCTTAATGAGTCAGTTTTCCCCATATCAGGTAAAGCTTTTCCTGAGAGCTTAAATCGGTAGGACTTTTTTTGTGCGGGAGGGTACTTTGGGCTCGGGAGCTGCACAATTATGCAACCGCCATCTTCGACAGCTCCGCCACGCCCCCCGCTTGAGCCACTGTTGACTGTTTGCAGAGAGAGGAAAATCAGCTGCTTGGACAAAGCCCACAAATATGGCATGGGTGTAGAGTACGCCCCAGCTTGCATTGCATTGTTTATACAATTATTATGTATTATACAATCTCGGATTGTATTCACAAGAAAACGTATAAAATATTAAGCATTTCTGTGGTCTGTTAAGGGATGGATTCCTTTCTCCTCATCTTTTGAAAAATTCACAAAACAGACATTTACTTAAAACAAACCTGCATAATATTTATTTATTTATTTGGGTTTTCCCCCCAACCGCCCTCCCC